TCGATGAGCAGTAGTGAAATTCTGATGGTGGATGTTGACTTAGACCAAGACTCATTCTTTTGATTAATTTTAGTACTCTGAATTGCATTGTTTCTCATTTGATTTCGTTCTTTTTAATTCTGATTTCTTTCATTTTAATTCTGGTTCGTTACATACAACCCCCCTCCATCTTTGTTCACGCAACACACAAACTAGGTTAGGTACTCTTTGTGGGAACGATCCTTACTCGCACTACTACATTTATTTTTAGGAGTATAGGTTTTAATTTTGGGTGCCTACGACAGCACACCAAATTTTGGCACCGTTGCCAGGGAGTTTTTCTAATCGGTTTTTGTGCTTCTTGTGATCATTGTTTCGTTTCTTGAAACTTTTAAAAAAAAATATAGATCACTTTGATAGTTTGTGTTTTAGCATAGAATATTTTCTGTTTTAATTATTTATTTATTTATTTTCATCATTCTAGATTTTTTTTTATGGAATGTCATTCATGGGTTATTAGGGTTTCCTTGATTTATGCCTGTAACTCGATTCCCTAAGCAAGGTGATTTGTAGTACGATCCAGAAATAGAGGGAACTTTGCGCAGGTTAAGGAGAAAAGCTCGTAGTCATTCTGGAGAGAACGATCCAGCTCTTGATTCCCTATCTATTAGTGGTTCTAATTTGAGAGAGGAAGACATCATGGCTGGAAACCAAACTTTGAAAGAGCTTGCCGCACCTTATTTGAATCAGCAACCCTTATGCATAACTTTTCCTGCTTTAGATGCTGATGCTAGTTTTGGATTAAAATCTAGACTGATACATATCTTACCCACTTTTCATTGTCTTGCAGGTGAGGATCCTCACAAGCATTTGAATGAGCTGCATGTGGTATGCACGAGTATGAAACCTACAGGGGTGACTAAAGAGCAAATTAAATTAAGAGCATTTCCGTTTTCTTTGAAGGATTCAGCTAAGGATTGGCTCTATTATCTACCCTCTAGGAGTATTACCACATGGAATGAGATGAAGAAGCTATTTTTGGAGAAATATTTCCCAGCTTCAAGGGTGGCCAATATTAGAAAAGAAATTTGTAGTGTAAGGCAATACAACGGGGAGTCCCTACATGAATACTGGGAACATTTTAAAAAATTATGTGCAAGCTGCCCCCATCATGATTGATGCTGTTAGTGGAGGAGCTTTAGTGGACAAAACTCTCGAGGCCGCGAGAAACTTGATTGCAAATATGGCGGCCAATTCTCAACAATTCGGCTATAGGCTTGACCATCCATCAAAGGATGTTAATGAGGTAAATCTCTCTTGCCTTGAACAACAAATTGTGAGTTTAACTTCTCTTATTCGTCAAATGACTGTAGGTAATGTGCAAATGGTGAAGGCTTGTGGGATTTGTTTGGTAGCAGGGCATCCAACCGACATGTGCCCAACTCTTCAAGAGGAGCCCATTGAGCAAGTGAATGCGCCAGGTGGTTTTCCGGGGCAACCGCAAAGGAAATATGATCCCTATTCGAGCACATATAATCCATGATGGAGGTATCATCCTAATCTCAGCTATGGGAATCCACAAAACTGCCCGACTTTCCAGCAATATCAGCCGCACCCCCCTAGACAACAACCAACCCAAACTTCCAATTCTGGTATGTCTTTAGAGGATATTGTTAAATCTCTTGCCACTAACACTTTGCAATTTCAGCAGGAGACGAGGGCCAGTATCCAATGTTTGGACAATTAGATGGGCCAGATGGCAACCGCAATTAGTCGGTTAAAGGCGCAAAGTTTGGGGAAATTACCCTCTCAAATGGTTGTGAATCCAAAAGAAAATGTAAGTGCAATCTTTTTGAGAAGTGGTAAGGAGGTTGAGACTCCAGCAAAGGCAGCCCCTGCATCGTCAAAGCAAGAAAAAGAGAAAGACATCATTCCCAACGACGATGAAATACCAAAGTGTAAGTTTCCGCCTCTTTCTGATTATAAACTGGTACCTCCTTTTCCTCATGCTTTAGCAGGATCTAGAAAAGATGAGCAATTCAAAGATTTTTGTGAGACTTTTCATAGATGTGAGGTAAATATTCCACTTTTAGATGCTATTAAACAAGTACCTCGTTATGATAAATTCCTGAAAGAATTGTGTACACATAAGAGGAAACATAAATTGAAAGGATGTGAGAAGGTGAGAGTAGGGGAGAATGTTTCTGCAATTATTCAAAGAAAACTCCCTACAAAGTGCAAAGATCCAGGTATGTTCACTATCCCTTGTATCATAGGTAACACTAGAATAGAGAAGGCCATGTTAGACTTAGGAGCTTCTATCAATGTCATTCCATATTCTATATATGCTTCTTTGAAACTTGGACCTTTGAATAAAACTGGTGTTGTGATTCAATTGGCTGATAGATCTAATGCCTATCCTAAGGGTGTAGTTGAGGATGTTCTTATGAAAGTTAATGATTTGGTTTTCCCTGCTGATTTCTACATGCTTGATATGGATAATGGTGATCAAACCACTCCTATTCTACTAGGGAGACCATTCTTAAAAACATCCAAGACTAAGATAGATGTTCATAGTGGCACACTTACCATGGAAGTTGATGGTAAAATTGTTAAGTTTAATATTTATGATGCCATGAAATATCCTAGTGATGATAATCCTGTTCATTCTGTTGATGTGATTGATTCTTTAGCACAGGAAGTCTTTCAACTTGATGGGAATGATGGATTAGAAATTTTCATTAGTAAGCATCTTGAGAAAGAGGAGTCAACGATGAATGCTAATTTGTAGGAAACTGTTGCAGCATTGAATGATTCTCTGGAGTTACAACAGACAGGTAATGTTCCTTATATTATGTTGCCAATTTCTTATAGGAGACCTTTACCCTCTGTTTTACAGGCCCCTATTCCAGATTTGAAGCTTCTCCCCAGTCACCTCAAGTATGTGTTCCTTGGAGTCGGAGAGACATTACCGGTGATCATCTCTAGTAGCCTTAACGCACCACAAGAAGAAAAGCTTGTGTAGGTCCTTAAGGAGCATAAGACGACTATTGGATGGATGATTGTGAATATTGAAGGAATCATCCCATCTAAATGCATGCATCGTATCCTACTTGAAGAGGGAGCAAAACCTTCCCGTCAACCACAAAGAAGGCTGAACCCACCCATGATGGATGAAAGGAGAAAGCACCGGAAGTTGCAACTACAAGAGTTAGAGGAAATTCGCAATGATGCCTATGAGAGTGCAAGAATTTACAAGGAAAAGACGAAGGCTTTTCATGACAAAATGATCTCTAGGAAGGAATTTAAAGTTGGTCAAAAAGTCCTTTACCATTCACAACTTCGTCTATTTCCGGGTAAGTTGCATTCTCGTTGGATTGGACCCTTTGTTGTTACTAATGTTTTTCCTCATGGTGCAGTTGAAATTCAAAGTCTAGCAACTTCCAAAGTGTTCAAGGTGAATGGCCATAGACTCAAGAATTTCCATGAAGGCTTCCANACTTCCAAAGTGTTCAAGGTGAATGGCCATAGACTCAAGAATTTCCATGAAGGCTTCCAAGTAGAGAATGTGGAACAATTGGACCTTGAGGATCCGGTTTATACTGATTAAAAAAAAAAGGGAAGTTTGTTTTTCTTTTTCTTCTTATTTTTGCATTTATGTTTTAGTTATTTCTGTCATTTCTTTGCATTTCACCTTACATTGGGGACAATGTAAGTTTTAAGTGTGGGGGAGGGGACTTAGGTTGCGTTTTAAAATTTGATTTAGGTTGTGTTTTAATTCTGCATTATTTTTTAATTCTGCATTTTTTTCGAAAAAACATAAAATATAGTTTTGCTCTTTGTTTTTGTGGTTTTCAACGATTTTTTTTTAGGTTGTGTATGCCATAAGCAAGATTCAATTAACCTTGAAAAGCTCATAGCATGATTGGATAAGTAATCTTCCAACTTAGAATTAATTAGTCTAGTTATTTTCCTTGAGAATGGTAGTGACTAAATCTAATAGACAAAAGCTGGTGAGATTTTGAGCCTTTAGACTGACACATCCATATTAGTCTCACTATTTTCTTTCATGTATGATATTCTTCCATGGATTTGCTTCTCTAGAACTTGTCTTGATTCTCTTTAAGATCACATTGACACAAGTGATAGCTATGATTATAACCCTAGCAAGTGCACTAGTTATTAAGTAGTATAAAAATATCGTTCCCACGAAGATTTAACAAAATAAGTATTAGAACTACAACCTTCCTTTGTTGTTTGGACAACCGAAATTCAGATCCAACAATAAGAACTACTGAAAATTAAAAATAGAAAAAGAAAATAAAAGCAAGGGTAATCAATAATTGAATATAAAACGATTAATTGAAATCGCTAGGACCAATGGTTCGCCTAACCATCCCAATGAATATTAATGGATGACATTAATCAAGATAATTTGTCATTTCCATAAGCTGAAGTTTCTCCAATTTTATTTAATATTCTTTTCCAAGATATATCAAATCTACTTCTATCAAGTAACCCTTCGATCCCTCGACTAGAGTTCTCAAGATAGAAATGCATTAAGTTTGAAGAAAAATTTATACGTTCAAATGAATCATGTGTATATATCCCTATATACCATTCAATTCACACCATGAATTATTCGGTCCATTATATGAATTCCTCTCCCGATTCATTCACATAAACCCAATCAATTAAGAGATGGCCACTCTTAATTGCATTAAGCATAATAACTCATAGACTATATGGAAATCACAATCTTGGATAAATTAGAATAAAAATATATTCATTGTCATGGTTAGGCTTTCCATAGCCCTAGCTAAAAAGAAATCAATTCATGATAAAGGAAATAAAACAAACAAGAGAAAAGAAAGAACTCATGATGTTGCCCTTGGAACTGAGATCCTCTCTTCTTCTTGCTGCCACCTCCTTCTTGAAGCTTTCTTGCCTTGTTGATCTCTTTCTTGAAGCTTTCTTGATGCTCTTCTTGATTACTTCAAAGGGAACTTCAGTAATTGCTGATTGATAGCTGCCAGGTGCTGGTACGCCCACCCTTTACATAGTTTTGGGGAGGGGCTGTTACACTGATCCTATCAACCCTTTACCTAGCTCTAGAATTACATTTAGAGTTCAAATCTAAGAGGACTATGGATTCTTGAATTCGAGTAGGCTGCTTTAATAAATTGGGCTGCTACAAGGCTTTTCTGCGAATTAGGCTTCAGCTGTGAGCTGGTCTTTATTGTGGATCCACTTCGACTTTGAGCCCGATTTTGTCTTCGGTGCAGGCCGAATCTGAATGGATGAGAGATCCATCGTATGGATGCCCAAATATTGCGGAATAAGGTGGGCAAATTTCAAAAAAAAATTCTCTCCCTTCAACTGGGAATCACATTCCCTATTTTAGAAAATCATATTTTCAAGGATAAATCTTGAACCATAAACTGAACTAGATCTGAATAAAAGCAGTAGGAGAGGATTATACCTGATACAGAGAAATATTATCTCTCAATGGAGGTGTTCACGCCCAAGGAAGGATCCAAAGACTGCTCTCACTGAAGATGGCGCAGTGTAGGATGGAGCAAAATTAGCAGTGTTCTCTCCAAGAACCTAATCCTTCGCAAGAAGTAGCAGGATGGCACGTGAGCACAACTTCCTATCAGTCCCTTCACAAGGAACTAATGTCAAGATCGAATCTTGATTTCTCCCACTAAACTAGAGATCGAACTGGCAGGGTAGGCAGCAACAGGAAGGAGGCGGCAAGAAAGAATTTCGCAGGGTTGCTTAATTCTTCCTTCTGTGATTTCAGCTCTAAAGAGGATGTGAATATCTGTCTTCTAAAGGCTGCCGCCCCTTCCTTCTTTTGTAACCTTAAAGGATCAGCTCCTAATCCTATTAGGAGTTGCTGATCCAAATATGTTTGGATCAGACATCCCTTTAGGTGATAAGGATAAACCCTTATCTTATCTGCAGATTAGATCCGTCTTCTCCTAATCTCATTAAGAGGTTTCCAGATCTGAATCACATTCAGATCTGGACTCTCTAAGTGGATAGGGTTACCCTATCCTATCTGCTAATCCATTCCCAGAATTCCCCCATATTTAACTAATTAAATTAGCCCAGTTCGAAATGGGCTTTAGGCCATTAAGATTATGTGCTCACTTAGCCTTCTTAACTGCTGCCCAGTTGGGCTTCCTTGTATGGCGTGGGACCCAAACATTGATCTACACATCAGCCACATGGGTTCAACCCAGCCTTTGTTACAAGGCCTGGCCGATTACACTGTTATGGACAGTGCACCCCCTGAAACCCATCACAAGGGCTCTATGGGCCCAACACTTACCCT